CCTTTCGTCCCCCCTCTTGGTGCCGCCCCTGACTTTCCTGCGTCCCCCCGTTGGGTTCCCCCAATTGGGGCGTGGACCAGCCACTCCCGTCAGCTCCAAGTTCTGGGTCTCAAACAGTTAGCCTACCCCAGTGTTGTCCAAACTTGGCCACTTTAAGATGAGAGGACTTCAACTCCCAGAATTCCCCAGCCAGCCATGAAGTTGAAGTCCACTCATCTTAAAGTGGTCAAGTTTGGACAACACTGGCCTACCCAAATGAGTTTCCCCTAGAGTGCAAGGCCCCAGTGTTGGCGTGTGCCTCCCCAGTGACAGGACCTTGGGCACCGGGCATCTACTGCCTTCAGCAAGGAGGAGGGAAGGCAGTTGAGCCACGGCCGAGCTTCCCTTGCAGCCCAGGGGGAAGGAGGGTGCTCGGAAGCGGTTCTTCCTCTTGCTCAGAGCCCCTCTGACCTTCTTGCAGAGTACGCGGAGAACATTGGAGATGGGAAGAACCCCGAGTTCCAGGAGAGCGAGCAGAAGCGGATCGTGGAGCTCCTGGAGAATTTCTGAGGATCCTGTGTCTGGCAGCCTGCATGACCTGCTGCAACCTGGGGTCAAATAGAGGACTTTCTGGAGAAAGTGGCCCTTCTGAGGTTTTGGTTTTGGTTTTAATTATTAAAGATAGTTTGGTTTGTTTTTTTAAAGTTTCTTGACTGATTCTTGGTTCTGGGGATGAGAGGGGATGGCCAGCTAGGGAGAGTTTTAATCCACCGCTTTCTCCCTTTCCAAAACTGCTCGATGTTACTTTGGGTGTCTTGCCCTTGGGGACCCCAGATGCATAATAATTCTCTGTTTGGGACCTTGGCCTGGAAACCCGAAGGCTTTCTACCCCAAAGCTCACCCTCCCTTACCATCATCTAAGCTTGTGTTTCTCAACCTCAGCAACTTTAAGAAGTGTGGATTTCAACCCCCAGAATTCCCCAGCCAGCATGCTGTTTGGGGAATTCTGGGAGCTGAAATCCACACATCTTAAAATGGTTGAGGTTGAGAAACACAGATCTAAGCTGCTTTTCCCAATCTGACATCTCCCGGAGGCAGCTAATTGCAAACCTCATCACGCCCCAGGTATGCTTCAGGGAGTGTATTTATTTACCAGGCTTATATGCTGCTGAATCACGTGCAGGAATCATAAAACATCAAATCACAATTAAAAACCAAAACCAAAGTCCCAATTTAAAAAGATACATAAAATAAAACATGAATATGAGTAACTGATAAGAACTGTAGTCTGGCGCATCGGAAGAGCTTGCAGCCGGGGAGGGAACGCCCATCGGAAGCATTATGAAGCCGAGCTGAAGAGCTATGCAAAGCAGCCCCCAGCCTGGCTGGTCAGCCGGTCTGGCTCCTTCTGGGCCTTGTCCTGCCCCACTCCCCACTGGCACTGCCCAGCTGGAGAGTCTCTCCTGGAAAAAACAGCCCCCCCTCCTCTTCCACTCTCAGTCCAGGGTGCCCTGCGGGGCAGGGTGGCTGGGTGGGGACGTGCTGCGGCCTGCCCCATCCCCTTGCTCTGCTCCCCCAGTTAATGACAGCCAGTGCAGCGCAGAGCGGGCAGCTGCTCCCCTCCGTGGGGCTGGGCCTCATTTAGGGACATTTGCATGCTGGCAGCATCCGTGCCTCATCACCCTGGAAAACACATTGTGAGGGAAGCTTCCAGGCGCTTGTTGGCACAGCCAGCCTGAAGGGTTATTCAGCCTGGGGGCTGCAGAGACGGTGGTTGGTGGCCGGAGGATTGAAGCAAAACCTTTCCGGGGGGGAAGGTTCTCCTGGCCCCCGGCACACTTCTGCTTCTCTCCCTCCGTTGCTTTCCTTATGTGCCTTAAAAGAGGGTAGCCATGGTCTGAATTGGCAGAGGCTTGACTGGTGGCTTCCCAAGCCACGTTCAGCTGCTACCTGGATATGGGGGGGGGGGGGGCGCCGCCCTTCCTTATGGGCTGAGGCAGGGCTAGGCAGGAAGGACGGCCAGGCTGGCATCCCAGTGGGGCTTCACATCCTGGTGCAGCAGCAGGAGCACAACCTCCCTGCAGAGCAGCCTCTGCTCGGCCCTTCTGCGCCCAGCACTGGCCCGCCTGCTGGAAGAAAATGGGACCCCATCCAGGGGCCACCCATCCTCCCTTTCCCCCCAGAATTACATGGCACTTCTTGGCCTGATCCACAGAGCTTGGGGAGAGAGCGACCTAGACAGCCAGGAAGACGGATATTTGCATCCTCTACCTAATAAGGAATGCAACTGGGTGTCTGGGTGGACTTGGGAACCCCAACCTGCTCCCACTTTGTGGGGCTGGAATAACCCCTGCTTGGAAACTATTCAAGGGTCACTAAGGGGGGCCAGTTGGCTCTTTCAGAGGGTCTGCCCCCCTTCAACGCAGGCTGAGAATTCAAGGCCCCATTGAAACTGGGGGGATCTCTTTGAGAGAGATTAATGGCCCCATGTGCTCAAAGATTATGGGGCCATTAAGTTTTGGAAAGGATGATGCAGGTAGATCCAGGTCATGGGGGGGTTAGAGGGTGGCTAGGAGCCCCCCTGCTGCCCCCCCATTTAAGCTTAGGGCTCTGAGTGGCCCTCCTTTCTCCTTGCTCGCCTGCCCCAGTGAAGTCACCTGCCAGACTGCCTGCCCGCGGGAGAGGCAGCTGCCCCAGGCGCCAATTGCCCCCCCCCCGCGAGCCCCCCCCCCCCCCCCCCCCC